TGTCAACATGAATTGTTACTAATTAGTCGTTACAAGGTATTGCCCGTGTCTCTGATTTTATTTTGTCATCTTAAGGTCGGGTTCTCATTATTAACTATCCAATTTTCTTTACCCCAACTCTAAAAACTAACCGTAATTCTACCTCACAATTCTATTCCTCAAATTCATATCGCACCTCAAGTCTTTATGTTGACTTTTAGTTTCGCGGGTGTGAATTTTTTGGTTTCAGTATAATCATTTCTGAACCTTTTTAAAGTATGCTTCGGTGCATGAAAATTTTCATTGTTACTATTTTCATGACTGACTGGTTCCAATATAGAACTGCTGCAACAATATGCAGCGGTTCGAGTTGCTACACTTAACTCAAAACACAGCAAGAGAAGAAAGTAGGAGAAATGCATAATAGAGACAGTAGACAGGGATATTAGGCAAAACGAATAGCAATAACAAAGAATAATGTAGTTTCATTGGAAATTATAAGTCACAAGAAGTGGATGCATCTGCGCCATTGACAACGACGATTTTAAGCCATATCACCAACTGTCTCCAGCCTTCATTGGATTTTACCGTCCCGAGGACCCCAACCAGGAAGCAAGTCTACATCTTCCTACGTGGCTTAAACTAACTGTTGTGGATTTCATTGACTGATGAAGCCATGTTTTGGTTTGACCACCACTGGCTCTTTTCCAACCTGATCTCTCCTATGTCAGCTAACATTGTCTAGCGAGGAAAGCAATAGGTGGGCATACGTAACACACTTCCTAACCATCTCAGTCGATGTAACTTCACAGCCTTGTCGATTAATTTCCCCTCCCTCCTTACCCAGCACTCGACGGATGCCTAACCTCAATATTGCTCACCCTATTACACCACTTCACACGGGAGATAGAACGCAGGCACCTACCTATGGTCGAAGACAGCTAGCCAACCTTTCATGTCTTCCACTTTCAGTGGCCAGGTGTCGCCCACAGCCACAAAGGAGGACGGAGCGGACTGCTGAGCAGCACACACACCCTTTGTTCGACAGCTAGCCGGATATCACGTGTACTAAACCAGAGATGACGTAAACTGGCACATCCTCCAAACGAACCTTTTGTATCCGTTCTGAGATTTCGTCAGCGATCAACCTTCTGACGTTGGCTGGCTGATACAGCATCCCAAATAAGTGAAGTGGTCAACACGCTTAGCGACCAGTTCACTCCCTATTTCTAAGCTAGGAGTCAATGTAGTCCAGTCCTGTAACATCATCTTACATTTGGCGGGAGCGAATCACATCCGAAACATTCGAAGATTGCAGTTAAAGGTGTTCAAAAGACTCTGAATTTTGTCAGCGTCTTCACCTAGCAGGGAGAACTATATCATCTGCGTATTCTAAGTCAACGAGATTATCCCCTGGGAACAAGTCAACCGCTGAGTCAGCAGTTAGGGTTAAATCCATTAGTACATCTACGATGAAATTGAATAGAAATGGTGATGGTGGGTATCCCTGTTGGACACCACTGGTTGTCAGCAGTTCAGATGACAACTCGCCGTAAGCTTTCTCTTGGCTGGCTGCATGCATTTGAGTGGAGTGCCTTGATCAGTGCAATGTATTTTCTCGGCTTTATTTTTACAGGCAAGCATCGCCAGAGTATTATTATTATTGTATCCTTTAGTTCCTAGAGGAACATAGGGCTTCAGCTGCGCACCTCCATTGCCTTCTGTTTTCTGACAACTTTTTCACCCCGCTCCAGGTCTGTCCACATACTTTCATCTCCTCTTCGCATGACCTCCTCCAAGTCTTCCTAGACGACCAACTCGCCGCCTCCCTTTCGGGTTCCACTCGAGGGCTTGTCTAGTGATGTCACTTGATGGTTTCCTCAGAGTGTGGCCAATCCATCTCCATTTCTTCCTGCCTATTTGTTTCACAATCGGTTCTTGATTGGTTCGCTCATTGCCAGAGATCCCTGTTGCTGATCTTTTCTGGCCATCTGATCTTGAGTATTGAGCGAGGGCAACTGTTAATGAAGGTCTGAAGTTTGTTGGAGATGCTCTTTATGACGCGCTGGCCAAGTCTCTGATCGGTAAAGTAGCACTGACTGTACATTGGAATTGAAAATCCGGATCTTATTTTTGGTGCTGAGTACTGTTGACCTCCACACAGACTTGAGAGTAATGAAAGCTTGTCTTGCTTTTCCGATTCTGCATCGCCAGAGTACCTGGAGTATTTTCTGGACAAACTTGGTACATCGTAGACACCGAATATGCCACACAAAATAATAAAATAACACTGTAAGACTGATAAAATATTTAAGGGCATGCATTACTTTTACTGCCTCTATACTCACTATCACTCAATATTATACCACTTAACACGGAGGGTAGAACACATATATGTGGTCATCACGTCTTCCGCTCTCAGTGGTCATGTTCCACAACAGTAAAGTACAAAGCAAACTGCTGTGCAGTACTCACGTTTGATCGGTAGTTGGATATCATGTTTAAGCCAAAAATGACGTAAGTTGTCAAATGCCACACGAGCCTTTTCTACCCCTCCTCAGATAACAGTCCATTAAGGCTTATCCAACTTCCCTAATTAATGAAGTGGTCAACGCGCTATTCCACTTCACTTTAAGGTAAGATTCTGTGTAATCAAGTTGTGCAACATCACTGTACATTTGACAGGAGCGAAACATTTGCTAAACATCAGGATATCTGCTCAAGCCGCTAAGAAAACTGTATTCTCTCAGCGTCTTCACCTAGGAGGACAATATCATCCAAATACTGTAAACCACAAGAATGTACCCTGGTGAGAATTGTCTCCTTTAAATATCGATTCAATATCAATTCCACTAGTACATCCATGTTGATATTGAACAAAGATGGGGACAGTGGGTATGCCCGGAGGATATTACTGGTTGTCATCAATTTATAAGACAAGTTTCCATGATCTTCTACATGGCTACCCAAGTTTGAGTAAAGTGCCTATGTTAAGGAGTTAAACTTCCGTGGCATTCCTCGGTCAAATAATACCATAGTACCTCTTATTCTATGGGATCGAATGCCCCCTTCAGTTCGAGAAATATTGCAAGTGTTGAACTCCGGTATGTATGCCCATGTTCCCGAATATGCCGAAGGGTGAACATATATTATTAATCCACCCTCTTCCTAGCCTAAAGCCTACCTCGTCTCCCCTGGGTTGTTTCTCTCGAGCATCACTTAACCTGTATATGATTATTAAAACTAAAACTTTAGATACCGTATTAGTCAAGCTAATCCCTCAATGTTTATTACAGGAGAACTTTAATCAGTTCTAATAAACTGGAGTATTCAGTGATTTAAAGCAGTGTAAGGAAACTGTCTGTGATTCCTAAGTGTCCCATTCAACTTCCCAGCCTTCTGTTCTAACAGCTTGTTAAGGCTCCCCTTTTCTCAAAGATTGTCTATTATAATTTGCCTTTTGCAGCCTGTTTCCCCAAAAAGCCTAAGTAATTGTGCGATGTTGGCTGTCGTCAATATCTTCTACATCTGTTTCGCTTTTGTCGCCCACTTATGCTCGCAGTCGTTTCAAAGACTTCTTGTCAGTTTGCGCTTGAGCAACTTTCGCTCCTCACTGTGTTTGGAGCCCGCTGGAATCAGTCTTGCCTCAGTCATTTCGGGTGAAATAGCAGAAATTCACTCTGATTTACTAACCTTTGGTTTTAGGTTATCAGTAGCCTCTACCACTTTATATGGCAGTCTCCTACTGACCCTCTCTATCGATAGTTTATCGCTATGTTTAAAGTTGGTGCTTACCAGATGACTATATGAAGAGGACTGTAGAAGATGACCACCGTTGTCCGTTCGTCAGGATGGAACTAAGTAGGTGGCGCCAGTACACTTTTCTAACTGGCACAACTTTCCTACTTGAGCATTGAATTCACCTGCTAGAACGACTATGAGCGTTTTGCTTTTAGCTGCAAACTAGAGAGTTTCTGGTAGAACGCATTCTTTACTTTGTGCGAGCTCTAGTCGGTTGTGTATGTAAGTGGAAGATATCCTAACATCCGTTAGGTGAATTGTGCAGATTCATTCCGTTGGCCAGGTGGGGTTAAGTGAGTAATCGCACGGGTTTTGTTTGCGTGTGTCTGAAACACAACATAGATTCATCGCTCAGAATGCCAGAGTTCTGGCTAGTAATGCCTATTATCCGATTTAGTCAAGGATGCCAACGTGAAATGGTCCAATATGAAGTTGGCAGCGTAGTTTTTAAAGACTATGATTAATGTTTTTTAGGCTGTAGTCGCTATTAGTGGCCGGTGAGTTAAGAGATGAGTAGCCTGTTTGTGAGATAGTATTAACAGCAAGAGGAAAGCAAGGTGGTGAAGGTTGGGGAACAGTAGTTTTGGCTAGTGTAACTCTTTGGATCATTGTGATATGTTAGTCTGACCACCACATCAAGGTAGTGGTTATTAGTTGGGACCATAGATGGTACCTTACAATGAAATCTAGCAACAACTACCAAAATACATGAGCTGTTCAACTATTTCTAACTGGGTAAATGAGAACTCAGTTTCCATCCAACCGTGCCTCTGAATTTCGTACGTTGATAGTGATTCAAAGCACATACTATTGATCTTCGTAAATTGAAATGGTAGGTTTCATGTAATTGCTGCTTCTTCATCCACAGTTCATAACCATTCGCTGCAGAATTACAAAAAAATTAAATTGTGGTGTTGTCACTAACGTGATATATACAGTCGTATTTAGGATACATACTTCTGACATATAGTCATCCCTTTTTCTTGCTCTCTGATCACAAAGACTTTGATTCATTTGGAGTTGATTGTTTCTAGCCATTGAAATGTTTGTCAGCATTAACATGATCTTTTTTTAATCATGTGATCACTAGTGCCAAGTTCATTTTTGGCACAACCATCAGTTGCCTTTTTGATTTAAATGTAATTTAAGATTGTTTGTCTTGTTTTAAATTCTGTTTGTTTTCATCAGGTGTTTTCATCACGTTTGCTTTTTGATGAAATATGATGCATTGTGATACTCCCCTTCACCCATCATACTCAAGACAGCTGTTTAGGCAGTGGCATTCTGCAGACTATAAGATCAGTGCTGAAAATCTTGTCTATCCCGTATTTTTGAGGTAAAATGTATCATATTTTTAAAATTTCAGTCAGGAACCTGATTGCGATCAACTAATTACCAGTCTAATTGATCAACATCGAATAGGATGTAATCGGATCATCGAGTTCCTATCACCTTTGGTGGCAAAACATTTGAAATCTGTATTGCTTTTCGGAACCATCAGTAAAGAACAGAAGGATGCTACAGGATCAGGCTGTGACAAGTCAAATTCACCAGTTCTTCGTTCAATAGAACTAATCAAGTCAAAATTTCCAAACCTAGTTGTGATATGTGATGTTTGTCTTTGTGCATACACTGATCATGGTCATTGTGGTACTGTCGAACCAGTCTTTTTAATCACAATCTAGGTATATTACGTAGCGATGGGTCTGTTGATGTACCTAAGACTGTGGAACGCCTGGCTGAGATATCTACACGGTTCGCTTTAGCAGGTAATCCTACAATTAGTTCCGTTAAGTGTACCCTAGTGAACCAACTATGATTCAAATGTAGTTGTTCAAATTAAAATCAGTGAAATAGTTCAAATAAAATTGAATTATATTTGATCTATTCCACAATGCTCAAACTTTTTACTGAAATAGTTCAACTTTATGATTTTATTGAATGTGTAGGATACCGCTTTTCATCTCACAAAAGTTAACAAATGGACTTAATGTACACATAGCTGTGCTAAATGTGATAAGTTAAGACAAATTTTCCAGAGTAACACACATTTTGTAACTGGGATAGGTGGAACCGGAGGTAATTTATGTAAAAGTTGTAAATCTTGAATTTTATGCATAACTAACGTAATTTCCTTGGAACACACGGATCTCACCTATTTGGTTGGATCCTGATAGCCTTCACTGTAAAGGAATATTAAAATTAGATTGAACATGGTATATCTAAAAGTTTTATTATCGTCAACTACATTTTCAGTATTGATAACGTGTGTCAGAGTAGAACAGGTAATAGGCTATTTACCTCTTTGTTCTTTATAAATGACGTATTTGTTTCGAGACATAATGTTTGTATTATTTTTAAGAGTTTGACCATGGATTGATATCAGTTAGAGAATCATTGAAAACCAGGTAATACTAGACAGTTGTTTCATCCTAGTTTGGGGAATCATCGGCAGTACGCACCCACTGGGGTTCGAACCCAGGACCTTCCGCTTGCAAGGCAAGTTCATATACCATTCCACCACTGGGACCCGATTAAGTGGCCCGTGAATTCTCACTTCTACCAATTCGTGATTTAGCGCGAATACCAACCAATGTCATCGGTGGAACAGCCATCCTCACATTTGACTGAACGGTATACGAACTTGCCTTGCAAGCGGAAGGTCCTGGGTTCGAACCCCAGTGGGTGCGTATTGCCGATGATTCCCAAAACTAGGATGGAACAACTGTACAGTACTACCTGGTTTTCAATGGTTCTCTAACTGATATCAATCCGTGATCAACTCGTAAAAACAAATGTAATCCTTGCAAACCAACTCTTGAAAATTATAATATTATGTTTGCTAAGTTATTGTCGTTAACTTATACAGGGATTTCTACCGTCAGTCAACGGTTCTCCTAATTCTTAATCAGTTTTCCTATCTGGCTAATTAGTAGATAATGCACTGAGTCGAGTAGGATGTGTATTTAGTCTGAAACCTCAAAGTCAAAATAAAACTGGGGATTCAAATGTGGTACATCATACTGGCATTTTACAATGATAACAGCGATTGATTATGTCACTTTAGCTATTGATCATAATCAGTGCAAATTAAATTTTAACTGAACATTTTCCGAACTGCTTATTGAACTTAAGTCAGCTCATCCTAGAGAAAAATCACTTGTAATATTTGGATATCCTCGTGAATCGAAAAGATTGTGTGGCAAAGTGAGCGGTATACGAGAAGCATACTCGTGTAATTGCCTCGAGTTTTTGTTCGACGTGGTAAGATTCCATTATCTAACTCGTCTATCTAGCAAATATCATCAGTAAGTGAATGAAGATGACAATTGAAATACTTATAGAGGGAGAATATTCATTGGACTGAGAAATTTAAATAGTTTTACTTACTGTCTCACAATAAATTTGACCTATAGCTTAATGTGTAAATCGAAATGTAACCAAAAAGTTTCATTGGTATATTTAAGGAAAAATAAAAAACAGTTAAAACAATGCTAAAAGCTTCTTTTTATGAATACGAATGTAAAATATGCAACTTAAGTAAACTAAGTGAAGTAGAATAAACTCTCATTTCCATTTCTTTGAAATCCATAGCTGTGAAACAGGTTTACTGGTCACTGAACTTACAATAGACGTAATCTGTCTTAACACCGGACATGTAATTCTTAAATGATTATATTATTTTCCTGTCACCCAACCCCCGCGCGCTCACTACTATTACATTTATACTCTACTATTACTGTTCTTAACTTGACTCATTCAATTTTAGCTGAGTTCTACTCAGTCCCGTCATTACATTACGTCACTCAGTTTGCTTATTTAATTTCATTCTAGTTCCTATCCGATTAACGCCCTCTCCATTACGTATTTGTTATCTAAAATTTACAGCTCTAACGACATCTCTGTAAACATTCATTTTGTCGCCTTTATATATATTCATGCAATTATACACCTTGAGAATAATATCACTGAAAACAATAACTCCTTTAAACTCTTTTCCTTCTCATAAACCATCCATTTGAAGGTGATAGGATTATAAAAAATAATGCTTCCCAACAGCTGCGTACCCTTGAGTTTTTTTGACAATGAGTCACACGTATTGTGAGAGGGCTGGTGATAGTCTATTTTTCCGAAACCACTATAGTTGGGGTCGGGTTCAAACCCGCAACGCACTGGCATAAAGTCGAATGCTTAATCTAATCAGCGACGGCAATCTGCAATTTATAAAAAAACTTTCATGAAGGTTGATTATGTTTTTTAACAATGTTTATTAGATAACGGACACTTTGCATTTTTATGTCTGGGATGTTAACTAGATTGGATACGACTTTTTGTAGAAATGTACTGACCATTCTATGACATATGATTTATATTGTGAACGGAAAAGATTTTTGTTTTTGTCAATAAAGAAGTTCCTTGATGGATTACGTCTTTGAAAATAAGATGCTGATTGGATTTTTATGCTCATTCTGTGTATACTGACGTTACACACATTTTCGCTGCATTACATAATATATGCTGCTATCGATTTCTAAATTTACTGATACCTTTTCAGTATTCTTTCGTCACTCAATAGTATTTATTCATTTTTTACAGGCGCTGATGTGATCGCTCCTTCCGACATGATGGATGGACGTGTAAAAGCAATTAAAATGGCACTTCAAAACGTTGGTCTAACTGAAAAAGTAGCGGTTATGTCTTATTCCGCCAAATTCGCATCATGTCTCTACGGTCCTTTCAGGTAATATATATATATATATATATATACATTTAGGTCCGGGTTCGATCCCCGGCCGATGCACTCCTTTACCTCGCTAAGCCAAAAATAATGCTGGTAGATACGAAAGGTTGGGCATGAGGCTAGCAACCCCATCCTGTAAAAATAAACACTGCTGCAGAAACTTCAAGCCTCTAGCTTGAAGCGCTATGTTCCACTGGAAATGTAAAGGAAAACAAAAAATTAAAAAAACCGTATGGTTCACTACTAATGAGGAAAGTGGACATGTCTGTCTGTCTGTTTTCGACACAGAACTTTGCACCGATGTGCAGCAGTTCAAGTCGCCACGCTCCATGCAGCGCACAAAGCAAGAGAAGAAAGTAGGAGAAATGCATAATAGAGACAGTAGACAGGGATATTAGGCAAAACGAATAGCAATAACAAAGAATAATGTAGTTTCATTGGAAATTATAAGTCACAAGAAGTGGATGCATCTGCGCCATTGACAACGACGATTTTAAGCCATATCACCAACTGTCTCCAGCCTTCATTGGATTTTACCGTCCCGAGGACCCCAACCAGGAAGCAAGTCTACATCTTCCTACGTGGCTTAAACTAACTGTTGTGGATTTCATTGACTGATGAAGCCATGTTTTGGTTTGACCACCACTGGCTCTTTTCCAACCTGATCTCTCCTATGTCAGCTAACATTGTCTAGCGAGGAAAGCAATAGGTGGGCATACGTAACACACTTCCTAACCATCTCAGTCGATGTAACTTCACAGCCTCGTCGATTAATTTCCCCTCCCTCCTTACCCAGCACTCGACGGATGTCTAACCTCAATATTGCTCACCCTATTACACCACTTCACACGGGAGATAGAACGCAGGCACCTACCTATGGTCGAAGACAGCTAGCCAACCTTTCATGTCTTCCACTTTCAGTGGCCAGGTGTCGCCCACAGCCACAAAGGAGGACGGAGCTGACTGCTGAGCAGCACTCATATTTCTTGACTTGAAGGCGGCCTTCGACTCCGTGGATCGAAAGGTACTATGGCAATGTCTGACTGTGAAGGGAGTGCCAAGAAAGTACATTGCACTAATCAAGGCACTCTATTCAAACTCACGTAGTCGTGTAAGGGCTTATGGGGAATTGTCATCTGAATTGGTAACAACCAGTGGTGTCCGACAGGGATGTCCACTTTCCCCATTTGTGTTTAACTTCATCAGAGATATGCTGATGGAAGTATCCTTAACTGAACGTAATGACTTAGGAATCGACTTGTTACCAGGGTATAGTCTTATGGACTTAGAATATGCAGATGACATAGTCCTGTTAGGGGAGGATGCTGACAAAATGCAGAGTCTTCTGAACACTTTGAGCAGCAATCTCCGTATGTTTGGCATGCGATTCGCCCCTACAAAATGTAAGATGCTGCTACAGGACTGGACCACGTCAACCCCTAACTTAGTGATAGGGAATGAAGTGATAGAACATGTTGACCACTTCACCTATTTGGGAAGTTGTATTAGCACCAACGGACTGATTGGCGATGAAATCTCAGCACGGATCCGAAAAGCTCGAGCTGCTTTCGTTGACTTACACCATCTCTGGCGTAGGCGTGACATCCGGTTATCAACCAAGGGACGTGTGTGCTGCTCATCAGTTCGCTCCGTCCTTCTCTATGGCTCTGAAACATGGCCAATACGCGTTGAAGACATGAAAAGGTTGACTGCTTTCGATCATAGATGTCTGCGATCTCTGTCTCACGTTAGGTGGTTTAATAAGGTAAGTAATGTTGACGTTAGGCGTAGAGTGTTGGGCAAAGAGGGAAAATCAATCGACGAGGTTATAAAGTTACATAGACTAAGATGGCTAGGTCACGTGCTGCGCATGCCTAACCATCGCCTCCCCCGACGGGGATTGCTAGCTGATATAGGTGCAGGTTGGAAAAGAGCCAGTGGTGGCCAAACAAAAACATGGCCTCATCAATCCATGAAATCCTTGACAGTTAAACTGAGTCAGGTAGGGAGATGCAGACTCCCGGGTTGGGGCCCTCGGGACTCTAGGAATCAATGGCTGGAGACAATAGGTGACATGGCTCAAAATCGTTGTCAATGGCCAGCGCAGATGTATTCAGTCTCTGTAATCTTTCATATTCCTTTCTACCATTACCCATTCTGTTTCACTCTTATACTTGTCAAACTCTATTGATTCTCTTCACTCATCTTCTTGTCTACTTTTGTGTGCTATTTGGAACGTGGCAACTCGAACTGGTGCACTTCGGTGCCAAGTTCTATGTTGAATCCAGACAGACAGACACACACCCTTTGGTCGACAGCTAGCCGGATATCACGTGTACTAAACCAGAGATGACGTAAACTGGCACATCCTCCAAACGAGCCTTTTGTATCCGTTCTGAGATTTCGTCAGCGATCAACCTTCTGACGTTGGCTGGCTGATACAGCATCCCAAATAAGTGAAGTGGTCAACACGCTTAGCGACCAGTTCACTCCCTATTTCTAAGCTAGGAGTCAATGTAGTCCAGTCCTGTAACATCATCTTACATTTGGCGGGAGCGAATCACATCCGAAACATTCGAAGATTGCAGTTAAAGGTGTTCAAAAGACTCTGAATTTTGTCAGCGTCTTCACCTAGCAGGGAGAACTATATCATCTGCGTATTCTAAGTCAACGAGATTATCCCCTGGGAACAAGTCAACCGCTGAGTCAGCAGTTAGGGTTAAATCCATTAGTACATCTACGATGAAATTGAATAGAAATGGTGATGGTGGGTATCCCTGTTGGACACCACTGGTTGTCAGCAGTTCAGATGACAACTCGCCGTAAGCTTTCTCTTGGCTGGCTGCATGCATTTGAGTGGAGTGCCTTGATCAGTGCAATGTATTTTCTCGGCTTTGTTTTTACAGCTTAAATTCGCGAGAATGCCTTTCCGTCTACGGAACGGAATGCCGCCTTTACGGTCAAGAAATATGACGATCGCTGAACTCCGGTAAGAATACCTATTCCAGAATCTGTCGGGTGAAGATATGACCAATACGCCGTCATCGTAGTCTAAAGCATACCTGGTTGTCTCGTGTTTGTACACGCCCCGAGAACCGCTTAGTCCACGCATTATTATTGAGCCTAGAACTTTAGGTAACACCATATTGGTGAAGCTAATCTCCCTGTGATTATCACAGGAAGATTTGTCTCCCTTCTTGTATGTCGGGATGATCAATGATTTACACCAATCCGATGGAACCTTCTCTGATTCCCAGACTCTGCCTAGTACCTTAGTTAACACAGACAGTTAACTATCTCCACCTTACTTAAATACCTCTGTAGTCATTCCGTCAAGTCCTGTTGCTTTGCCTCGTTTCAGACTAGTGACAGCTTTTGTAACCTCAGTTAGGGTTGGAAGACCTGTGTCTGTATCCCATTCAGGGGCGTTTTGCATGTTTTCGGTAGGTTTAGCGGGGCTGTAGGCCAATTAAACTGCTCTTCGAAGTGTTCTTTCCAACGTTCCAGTCGTCTATCCTGGGAGTTAATTATGATGCCATTGTTCTCAGAGATTGTTTCACTTATCATTTACCTTTTACTACCTGTTTCCCTGATAAGCCTAAATAGTTGTCTGGTGTTACCAATTGCCGATGCCTTTTCCATCTCTTTCGCTTTTGTCGCCCACCACTGTTCACGGTCGTTGCGGAGACTTCTTGTTAGTTTTCGTTTGAGTAGTTTTCGCCCCTCATCATAATCGGAGCTCGCTGGAATCAGTCTTCTTGCGTCAATCAGTTCGGATGAGGCGGTAGAGATCCAATGGCTGTTACCAACTTTTGGTTTTAGGTTATTAACAGCTTTTGCAGCTCTGTCTACAGCTAACTGTATGTTGTGCCTGGCTACCTCAGGGGAAGTCCTGCTGTCGACCTCAGATACACGTTTCGCTATTTCCTCCTGAAATGGGAACTCAAAGTTTCGATCTAGTTGGGGACGTAACTGCTTCGCTTCCGTCAATTTCTTATGTCCATTTAGTCGTAACCATCAGCGTGCGCGGACCAGAGTGTGATCGGAATCTACGGACATGTTCCAAATGGAGCGGCAGTCTTCTCCTGACCCTCGCCAACGATACCCTTTGGCTATGTGGTCTATTTGAGTCCAGCGTTAATTTGATGATGGAGGTCGCGAACAATGGATGTAGGTGATAGTGTATCAAAATGAAACTGAAATGACTGAGTTATTGAGGCTAAATTACCAATTGTAATAGAGTTGAAATCTTAATTTTATGTGAAATGGAAACTCGTAAGAGTAACAACAAGTAAAATATGGTGCTTGGGAAAGGCTGATAAGCAGTTATAATGACGAATAAAGGAGCTAATGGTTATTAGAAAATGAAATCTACTACAAAACTGTATGGAATTCGATAGTTTGAAACGGGAGATCTTCGAGTTTATGATAAATAGTATTTAATTGACCTCTGAGCTACAACTATATTGACTTAGTTGTTGGGTTTACATGTCGCTCTGAACCAACGAGCTATGGTTAAATCAATGTTAGAAAGGTCTTTTGGATAAATATGCGACTAAAAGCGGTTGTGATCCTAGTGTGAACTGTTTACATGGCGGTGCGCAAAATTGTTTATACAATCTGGAGGTTGATATTATTAGAAAAGCAATCGATCATTGATGAGATCCACTTTACCGTATTTATTAAAAATGAAAGAATGCCTAATTATCATCGGTGGTAGGATCTGCAGTATCTCCAGTTAAATCGCTCTTACTTATGGCCAACATATACTTTTAATGCAAGACAGCGAATTATTTGACATGAAAGAGATGAGTCTTACCTATAAATATAACTGGTCATGGTTTGTGGTGAAAAACTTAGCTAACTTGTACTAGATATTTCAGTCGAAGTTCTCGTGACATAAGCGTAAAATAAAGTAGCGTCGGTTCTTGTTGAAACAGATTCAATATGAAAATATGAAGGCTAAAGACAGTTGGTCTAAATTGCATGGAATGATACTTACTGAACAGCAAAGTATCTCATCCAACAGGATGTCAGACAGCTTCATAGACTTCAGAGAGAGCTTGAAGAACTTTCAGTTAATCACAGTCATTTACACTTCTTCAGACTGATTTTCAAAATCTACATTGGAGTGGGCGCTATGACATGTCAATGTTATTACTTATTATACTATCATTTCAAATTTGTGTATGGACTCTTGAAACTTCATCTTTCAAAACAGATTTACTTCAAATTTGGGTGTAATGCATTCGTTAATACCAGTTGACACTGCTAGGTGTATTCAGAAAGTGTTTCTTTTTGAAAGCTACTAAATACTTGAATTTCTTGACAGCACTTTTACTTCAAATTCCTTTTAACGATCTTCACTGCACATGCTTTTTATCATGTTCAATTTACGTACTAGGACACCTAAAATATTTTTACTTACCACTAGGGCTTCATTCTTGGTGAAATAAATTGCGCAGTGTCAGTTTTTAAGAATCCGAACGGCGAACACAACTGTTATTGCTGTTTATTGCGTTTCGGGGAATAAAACGACAATCCGAAAACACATACATCTTATTGACTGCTCCTTCAAGTACTGCATGATATTCCTATAGCAATTGAAAAGTAATTCTACTCTTATGCAAGTCTTATACATGCTAAACTTCCTTGTTTTCCAGAGATGCTGCTCAATCTGCTCCTTCTTTTGGCGATCGTCGCCACTACCAACTTCCCCCTGGTGCAAAAGGATTGGCTATTCGCGCTGCTGTACGTTTAAGAATATTGATTTTAATTTTTTTCAATTGACAATTTCACGAATTCAATTGTAAATCGGTTAAAAACAGAACCGTACCTGTGCGGCTTTAGGCTTTCGCTTAACTTGGCATAGTCATGTATATTATTATCCGTACAGTGTCACTATTTTTTATTCTCCACTGTTGGTTGATTTCGTGGGTCATGTGTCATGTCTCCTTAGCCTAAGCTTTAATTGCCACATACATCGTGCATAGAATAATCCACATTACCAACCGATTATCACGAGGTGAGGACATCAAGACAATTGGAGAAAAGGTTGTTTACAGCATGACACAACGTATAAGTCGGGTTTGGTTGTTTAACTCCAACTTACAGTCAAAGTCGTCACCAATTCTAAAAATTAATTCCGATGATGTCAAAATGATGAAAATAATTCTGTGAGTAATTTTCAGACCCATATTTAACGTGCTAAAAAGGCGAGGGATGACCATTGGAATGAGTCTTTGCTATAAAATTCACATTTAAATATATCCTTAGGCGAGTAGCATAAATATGTGCTCATATCACCAGCGGTAAAAAATATGGGAGTTTTTACGCCTCTAACATTTAATTATCAAGTAGGTGAGTAACAATATGTGAAAAGAGCTACAAAGTTTCTGACCTTCTTTATAGTATAGATTGCGAAAAAAATCTTGGAGAAAAGTTTGGTATTTTGTTAAGTTTGTGTCAACTATATACATGTTATAGGTAAAATATTAATAAGTAAATATGTGTAACTATTACGTATGTAAAATAAATGAAATACGTTCAACAATATTACTGTAGACCTAACTAAATGGAATTAATTAAATGAGGTTTATAGGACTTTGAACTAATGGCTTCTTTTTGGTATGTTCTCACTCCAACTTTTGTTTTGTCACAGTGACCAACACAATTACATTAAAGTTTATCTCTGTTTAATCTGATTCATTGGACTGGAAACTTGACTAAATCAGTGGGTCTTTGGCTCGAATTCCATTTGTCCCCTTGACATGTGATTCTCCAAATTGTGGAATTGGTCTTCAAAAAATGGATTTTCGTTATTGTCGTGTTCACGAACATGTAATGTGGTTGTTGGGTTTCAACTTGTAGGTTGAGGTTCTCCAGATTTATATTCTTTGAGTTGTGTTTTGTGTCCAACTGATGTAAGAGAGCCTCATTCATAGTATACGCTTTCACTAATCAGTAGTGTTTAAATACGAAAGTGTAAAGAGTTATTAACCACAGTGAGAATAATAACATAGTCTAAAATGCATTTGTTGATTCACGTGAGAATCTCATCCAAGTTAACTGTTCACAAATATAACTATAGAAAACAAGTCTGCCTACTTGAAATTGACGATTACTTCAATATCCAGATGTTTTTTTCGTTTTTGAAATATTGTAGTCCACTGAAATTCACTTCTCAAGATACTGATTTATCTACTAAAATATACAGAAGAATCAGGTGCCGGTCAAAATAAAACTTTGTTCAGATTAAGCTGTACTTAATAGGTTGCATTTTTCGCATTGAATGTGTCATCATCAATGAATCAGGGTTACACAAAATATTAAAGTATCCTGCGTTTTCATCTAAAAATTTCTAATACGTGTTACCTGAACTGGCATCCTAAAAGTGTGCAGACGTATACTTAATCAGTTGGTGTTTCTTATTGGAATTGTTCAGAGGAGAACACAGTGAATTTATGCATTGACCAACTCTGTTTTGGACGAAGAATGCTGTAATCCCTTTACTGTAACCTGACTGTCCATTTTGTCTCAATTGGTTGATAAAATCTAATTTCTCTACAACGTAGACGCACAATTTAGAATGATTTTTCAATATGCTCCAGCTAGAAAGTAATCTGCATTGGTTAATTATATACAGTTGCCCGTTTAGTGGGGAGTTACTTTGCTTTTCTTAACTGGCTGTTCCCTTTGTACTGACTGACTGGTTAGGCATATGTCGGTCGTTTAAAGCAGTTTCTAGAAGCTTTCCCTTTACCGTCGAAACTGCTAGTTACCTCCATGTTTTAATGTCAGCAACTATGTCTCACAAACGTAAAGTGGGAGAGGACAAACTTGTGCGCAATGCACACGTCTCTTTCGATCTTGTCAACGATTACATACTATACTATATACCATATCCTCAATAATAAAAAAATGATACACGATAGGTGTGATTTTCATTTATTTTATCATTGTTTTCATTGATTTTTTCCGCTAGTTTTATTGTACCTTTTCTTTTTTCAAAATCCAGATCCGAGACGCGAATGAAGGAGCTGAGTTTATAATGGTAAAGCCTGGTCTTCCTTATCTTGATATTCTAAGCGAACTTCATCAGTTAGTAAGTTCTTTTTGCATATCGTCTAATCTGTATTCAAAAATTATTTGTTTATTTATTCAAGTGATTTAACTGAAACCAGACTAAAGCTTTCTGATTTGCTCCTATTTTTTGTTTGTTTGAAGGATATCAGTAATTCTTCTATTAATTGTAACTATAATCCTTCTGTAATTCTCCTTTTTTGTTTTGCACATTCTATCATTTGGTTGGTGAATTTTTTTCCATTAAACTATAATAATTCATTGCTTTCAGTTAGATGCTTTTATATGGTGTAATGTTACGCATTACAATTTTCAGGAAATAACATCAGTCGAAGTAGTAAAATATCATCACATAGACTCTTATTTTACAACATTTGCAAAACGATCAGGGGTTTGGTGAGGGGCATTGGTTAGAGTGTATTTTCGGTTGTTTATTTTAAAAAGAAATTATTTTATTCCTTTATGTCCCCAGGGGAACAAAGGCTTCTTCAGGCTTCAGATTTGTAGCTTCAGTAATGGTGGTGTTTTTACAAGGTGGGTTTGCCAGCCTCATGCCCAACCTTCCCTCTTTACTGGGCATACACAACCAACCAAGTGCGTCGGCCGGAGATCAAACCACGGCCCTTTTGTGTGGTTTGCAAGCATCCTACCACTAAACCTTTCGGTTCATTAATATTTCACGCATTCTATTATGACGAGAGTAATTTCAACTGTTTAGTGTGGCACTGTCATTTGTTTAAAATTCACACGTATACTCCAGAGGTTTATAATTTCTAGTCGTTTCACATAGTTGAATATATATTGTTTTTCCTACAACATCTTTGTATTAATCGTGAATTGCCTATGTTCAAAAGTATCTACAGTTGTATTGCAAGAATTTTAATGGGTCTGTGACAGTGCAAATATTTAGTGTTATAGTCTCAATCAAATAACTAGCAAGTTGTGTTATTTATTTCCTTTTTGTATCTCAAGAATGTAAAATTAACTATTCCCCAAAATGGTCTTATACATAGAAACTCTAATCGTACTTTAATATGAATAGAAGCTGTTGGCGCAGACATGAAAATGTTTTTTTAAATCTAAGATTTCGTGTTGTAAGGGAAAACAGTTGACACGAATTCAATCTTTTCTGACATCTAGAAATTTCATCATCTCTCCTGGTCATTGTAATGTCCAGGAAACCGAGTTTGTTATCCGATTCGAGTTCGGAAGTCACTCGGATGAAAATAAACAAAATGGAAGTCCAGTCACCATATGAAAACTTCTATGATTAAATCTCTGATTTAACTTCCTCTATTGAAGATAATCTGGACTGGTTTAAAGTTAAACTAGTGAATATTTCTCGCCAATTTCTAAATGCTAGAATACACCATAAACATGGTTTATCAAAAGAACACCATGCCGCACTTAAGGAATTAATCGAAAAGGATAATCTTATTATCCTTAAACCTGATAAGGGAGAAGGCGTTGTCATCATGAATAAATCGGATTATGAAAATAAAATGAATGATATCCTCAAAGATCAGTCCAAATTTCTGGTGGACAATGCTACTGATAATGTGCTGCTTGTCGAAAAGCAGATCGATCGTCAGCTTCAGATTTTACTGATGCATGGTTTTATAAATGAACAACTTAAAGCAATTGGGTCACATACTCCCCGGCTTTATGGCCTTCCGAAGATCCACAAAACTGGGAACCCACTGAGACCCATCTTAAACACGTCAAATTCTCCACACCATAAAATCGCAAAATGGATTACAGAGGTCCTTACACCTGTAAGAGACTCATTATCAAATCATTCTGTAAAAAGTTCATTTGATCTGACAGATATGCTTGACACCTTGAACGTTTAGGAAAAGGTTATGTGTTTAATTGACATAGAATCTTTATTCACCGATGTTCCTATTCATGAAACTGTTGATTTCGTTTGCGATTACATCACAAGCAATGGTATAAACTTACCTATTCCTGTCACTTACATCAGAGACATCATCTTAATGTGTATAGAAAGCATTAGATTTGCCTTTCAAGAAAAGGTATACAAACAAATCGGTGTTGCGATGAGGAGCCCTCTTGGGCCCCTGTTAGCAGATATATTCATGCGGAAATCTGAAAAACAAATGCAAGGTATGATTGGAGGATTTATTCTATATAAACTTTATGTAGATGATACACCTATTATTGGTAATAATAGGAAGTCTATTGAAAACTTTATTACCCTATTTAATCATATTTATCCAAATACCTGAGTGACTTCCGAACTCGAATCGAATAACAAACTCGGTTTCCTGGATATTACAATGACCAGGAGAGATGATGGAACGATTCAGCGATCTATGTTTCGTAAACACATATGGAGTGGACAATATCTAGAAATTTGTCAAATCACTGTGAGTGATTGCAATGTCATCACGATTATTCATCAGCTAGTGTCAAATCAACACACAAACGCACAATATGTTTTGTTACCGTATACATTCTTCCTCTTGGTGTTGGTGGTGGTTCAGGTATCCGAGAGTAGTGTTTCATATGCATCCATTAAAAATGAAGAACACTTCCAGCTTACAATTTAAGCCATTAGTTTCGTGAGCTATACGTATACTACTCACAGTGCAATTTTTTTGAGGTCACTGTTAATTTATCAAGGAATTGAAACAAACTTATTTTTGGGTTTTTATAATGACTGACTTGCTCTTTTATTTTGTTTTGTTTTTCTGTTTCACTCTTCTTCGCCATCTAGCTACCCCACCACCCTCTGGCGGTGTATCATGTTTCCGGTGAGTATGCAATGTTAAGACACGCAGCGGATGCTGGAGCTATTGATTTGAAACAGGCTGCTCTTGAAATAATGACTGCATTCCGTCGCGCAGGTAAAGTCGTCTGCCTTTATACTTATTGTTTATGTAGAAAAGTGTTGTTTTAAATTTGTATGAAGACTTTTTTGCGTAGCATGTTTTATTACTTCACACCAAACTTATGAATATCCAGACGATAGGTGTTAGAAGTTAACTGAGGCAGTTTTAGCTTCCTGTCTGCCTGACTGACTGACTGAATCACTATAAAATAATGTAAAACAATCCCAATGTGTTTAGTAAATTAAAAGAAGGCGTAGCCTGCACGACAAATTATTTTCATAAGTTATTATTTTCACTTTCTAAATATGCTCCAATTATTTTTATGTAACCATACAACGAAAGTTGTACACATTATTTGTAGGATTACGTTTTATATTTATCTACTGAGAACGGTGTTTCAAGTATTTTTGAATGCACCTCTTTGTGTTTGCTTAAGTTGTCCAATTTAAGTTAGTGCGCTTTACTATTAATAATTCTGTTTGATTCTTATTTCTAAGCTGTATGCGTTAAGTTCGCGGAACTTTTGATATCCACTGATTAAGAACTGGTTCTCATATCTTAGTAGTTTAGTGAACAGGATGTTTCGGCTTTCGTGTGCTGGATGATAGATTCATATTTCAGTATGAATGTCACTCACTAGGATGTAAGTAACGTCTGTTTGATGAATCATGAATAGGACGTTTTAGACTCCGCTGATAACGAAGATCTATTCAAAATAATTATGAAAATTAAAATGATTAAAAGCTAACTATTTTAAGTATATGGCCTTTTAAGATTGCCTGTAAGAAAAATTAGGGCTATGCATATTTCAACCGCATGCCTTTTATGATTAGGTGCATAGTTTATGAGTACAGTGAGTGAGTAAGGCAGTCACTAAGAATTAAATATATAACCAGTTTTATTATTTATTTATTTATTTAAACGCATAAAAACTTGGTACAATATGGCACCAAGAAGGATGCGCCACACAATAATAATAAAACGACATAAATCAAAAGAAAAAAAGAAAGAAGAGAAAAAATATATGTAAGTAGAGAACGGATAAAGAACTTCATCTGGAAGGAAAACAGTCATGCTTAACAAGTTCAAAGTATTCGTTAACTATCATCGGGAAGAGAAGAAAGAAGGAAATTGCAACACGTGTAATAGCACGCGATAAGTTTCATTGATTGTTTGTTGCTTCATTCAATTTATTGTGTGAGGGCTGAGATACTACCCGGGCGTCCAGACCGAAGCAGGTGGTTTTATTAAGGGATCACCCCCCGAGCCTTTGACTTGGAGTCTAATCCACAAGGCAGCGGAGCAGCGTCAGGAGCTGCATTCCCATGGTTGACGGTGACCGATATGGGTTCATACGCCATTTGATCCGATTGGATACTGGAGCCCATGTACTCCATGGTAACTGCTTTTAGTTTAACCGCTATCCAAACAACCTTCGTGACATGGTAGGACCTGCAGGGACAGAGTCCCAGTCAGTTTAGCATGTTGGGTCATCTCGGTATTCAAGCCCGACCACCACGACAAGGTAGCAGTTATCGGTCGGGATATATAAAACCAGTAGAGTGGTGGTGTTAACACTTTTATAATATCATTTAATTTTCTCGGTTTTTACCAATCGCTCTTACAGCTTACAGAAATTCTAACGTCATATCATAAACTTTGATTTGTTTGATGGAAAAATACTGATTCAAATTGAGGACTACATTAATATTACATTAATTGCGAACCGGAATAATCAGACAAATATACTTGCAAAATAACTGAAGAACGACATGACAAATATGCGCTTACATCACTATAATTTCTTTTATATTCATAACTGCAGTTCATTGCATTTATCGAGTAACTGTTTACATGTGATTAGTCATTAAATGTCACCTGCTTCAAAATTATAAGATTTCGGCATATATTTGGCATATTTCGGTGTTAAAATTGTAGCAGATTAAAAGACCTAAAACAACAGAATGAAAGCATATAATACTTAGCCTTTCTTAAAATGTTTTTCTAGCTTAGTTGAACTCTATCAAGATAACCAATTGTATGAACTTCTCATGATACTGAATTTGATAACTGACAGCTTAGTTACTGGTTGAATAAATAATTGGTTCCTATCTGAATACACTAGATATACTTTTGTTCTTTGTGGTTCCTGATGAAACAGTAGAATTAATTATATTTAATACCTATTTTATACTAAAATTCATTGCCACTTCACCTCACTTTAAAGTGTGAATTTAATGATTAAAGGTGTGCACTAAATTTGAGGTGCATTAATACTATTAGACTCAAATATTCTCTACTTCGCATCGTATTAGAGTTGATCTTTTTTTAAAGTTATCAAAGACCATGTAATAATTAGCAAAAGATCGAAATCGATTTATTAATTGATTAATTTCAGGAGGGTGTTGCTGCTATGATGAATCTAATGTGTGATTGATCATTTTAACTGTGACATTTTATGCTGCTTTGTACAGTCATTGATTCAGAGCTACAAACTCTTGATTCTTAGGAAATTGTGTAGTGGATTAGTGTTCATTTGAATTGAAATTCGAGCACTGAGTGTTTGATGCGTATATATCGAATTGTGTATGATAGTTTTCTACGCATCTATTAGTAAAATCTGTTGATTGTACATGTAGTTTTCTTTTAAATGCAATCATGTACTAACAGCGCTTTTTATGCTTTTCCTCTATTTCTGAATACTTAACAGGTGCCTCAATTATCATAACATATTTAACGCCATACTTATTAGATCTTGACTTATCTGAAGCCTGTAAATAACAGGTGGTATCCCGCTAAATACACATTATATACTTCTGAAAAACCGTACAGTGATCATGTTCTTGAAATCGTGAACTCAGAGATACCTCGGGAATATTGTGTATTTTTTTGTTTTTTACAAATTACATCCTAATAATGCTCTCTTTCTACAATTTGTCCCTTATTTCTTCTATTGTTAGCATCATTTACGCTTTTTCAACGTATATTTCTTGTCTATCTTTCGGCATTGTAACCGCGTCTATCAAACTGAACTACAATAAATTAGTTGTTCTGTACTACTGATTGAGCCTACATTTCACCCTCTTCTGTTTTCTACTTTATTGTCAACAATGGAAAAAATAAAAATAGCTGGAATTTATTTTGTTTGTTTTTTTCTGTTGTGAGTATCATGTAAAATTGTTTATTGATTAAATCGATTATATGAGAAATTATTATTCTAAGTTGTATACATAAGTGAATATATATCATACTTACTTGAAGACTAGTGCACTTATAAGCACTGAATGAAGTTTTTCGCCTTGTACACATGGTCGATTGGTTTTCGCAAGCTGTACACATTAAACTGTGTATAGCAAAACAGATTAAAGAAAGCTTTATGCAAATAAATTCTATAACTTTAGTACTACAAAGAAATATGTGCAACATGCTGTGAAAATTTGTTATGAAAAATTAAATACAAAAATTACATTCTGCTAAATGCTAAGAAAACACAGTATCTGAATTCGTCAAGAATTATTTCAATAACGTGAGCAACTGCTTCATCATGGTTGTAAATTAAAACCTGAAAAAAATTTTTTGGAACCCAAATGTTCAAAACAGAAAAAGCTTGAGAAATAAGTCTTCTTATGAGAGTAGCAATTGTAAACAACTAGTTCCCTCTATGGGTTTTGACGAAGCATTCAGCAAGCGTAAATTATCTTGAACGTGTACTGTATTTTAAGTAACAGAGTTCCGACATAACGATCACACAAGTACCTGTCATATATATATATATATATATATATATATATATATATGACAGTAAACTATGAAGGGTTGAGATTGAATCAATAGGTGTCAAAATGTTTGTCAGTGGCTATCACCAATAAAAAGATGTAAGTTGCTCAATATAACCTACGATGCAGCTAATTTCATTGGCAGAAAGGAAACGAAATTAATTTGTTCCGTAACAGCTTGTGATCGATTATCACATATCACTCACAATCCACCTGTTTATATATCTCTATGGTCACACATATAAACGTGCAACTCATCCATCTGCCCGCCACATTCCCAAGCGATTACAAAACCATACAAAATAACTTCCATCCAGAAAAACATAAAAGAGAAGTACATCCTCCAAATTCTGAACGATTGTAATTCTTTCTGTTAAGTGTAGACTAAAATCCAAGTACCTTGTCAACCTTATTCTACATCAGCCAACATTTCTGACAGAGAAATGTGGTGTCTTCGTGGGCATAACACATTCCCCAGCTACCTTAGCCAATGTGGGTCCAACACCCCAGCGACTAACCTCCTCTACTTACCTAAACACTCTATCACTAATCTCAGTCTTATCTAACGTAGGTCTATATCCGATGTGAACGATCGAACGAAGATATCAATCATCAGAATCTGTGAGTTTTCACATCTTTTACTCTCAGTGTCCATGCCTCACAGACGTGAAGTATCAGAGAAGAGAATGGTGCGTCGTACACACGTCTTTCCACAGGAGACATGATACTTCGATCGTGTCAAAGATGACGCGGGTTGGCGAGTAGCAAATGAGCCTCTTGTATCCTGTCAACCACAGAACCACTACGGTTGATCTGAATTCTCAGACAACCGGGACGATCGACACATATAACAGATGATTGAGATGCTTTCCCGTCGGGTAGTATGTTGAACACTGTTTGACAAAATCAGTTGTCTACACATCTGCTCGTCGACAGTTGGCAAGACTTTCAGCAATAGACTCTGGTGCATATTAGTAAAAATCTCAGATATCTCTGTGTCAGGAATTAAACACTCGCCTACCTCGAAGGGATTTTTACACAACAATAGCTGTTGCAAGGTTTTCGTCAGGCCATTTTAAACTCACTCCATGGTACATCGTGGAGAAGCATCGTTCTCGGTGACTTCACGAGTTTCTACAGATTACTGACAGGACAACACTAACTAAATGGCGAGTAGCAGAAGCTGCATTAAGCGCCTCCGTCGACGAGGTTCACTAGGTTAAGGAGTAGGGATGACAGGGCAGGGAGTCATCTGCTAGCCTGAATTCACTGGGACATCGACAGTACAGCTAAACATCACAGCCTTGCAGAACACTGTCCACAAATAAAGTCTGTTGGCTGTGAGATTGAGGCAGACAAATTTGAGACTGGGCGTGATGAAAAACAATCTGTCAGCACTGTGAACAGATGATCATTAGGCACCTTGTCGAAACAGTCGGTATCGAAGACTGCTAGGAACGGTTTCTTCTCAATGTGCTTACACTGGTTAGCCACGATGAATGTAGGCGTTATGTACAAGAAGTGTCATCGTGTTAGTCAGTATTAGACGCTTTCAGGTAATTACCGAAGTTTGTCACTCGGATGACATCCAGTATGACAAGGAAGTGTCGAACTGAGATCACCCGATTCAGTGAAAGCAAACTGAGAGAACAACTGTCATTGAAATCAGAACCAACTTCCTTGAATGCTTCCACTAGACAGAATCTCGCAATTAACAACTACGAAGACACAGGGATGTGTGTCACCAGCACACTCACTTTATTCCGTCGACACCTGAGAAATTGCTGAGTTCACATTGCATTTCAATAGGGATGCTGACAATTCCAAACCATACAATCACCCGATTATCTGGAGTGAAAATTCTAATCGCATAAGTCTTCTCTAACCTCTCAATCAAGTGGTGTCATGTGATTAGGTTTCAGGCTTTAGGTGACGAAATCACTCGACTTACAACCTACTTGCAGATAGTACGAATGAAATTTGCTGACATCTAAGAGGTTGTATGCTATGACTGTCTCAAGAGAGTGAAGGGAGTTCCACTCCAGTCTAGTCCAGGCCAGTCCACTCCAGTCTAGTCCAGTCCAGTGCAGCACTAACATATCAACTGCAGTCTCTTACTTGCCTACAATAAGATGAACATTTGTTGCCATCAAGTCACTTTAACCTAATACTGAATCAGTATTGTCTATGAGACAATAATATTACTGACTATCACGAAACCAGTTAGAGTGCTTCCGAGAAGATCCGGTAAATAGCCTCCACAGTAATAAGGCTAACAGAACACACCACTCGTAGAAACTTCATAGTCAAGTTACTAAGTGATACTTACTAACTCTTATCATTTCGATTCTCATCGCTTATACTTTTCGCTAGAAAACTAATTAATACAAACTTCACATTGAGATAAAGTGATATTTAAAACTGTTTCACTACTTCAGCGAATGAACATTAGTTAGAGGGGAACACAGATTGTCGAATCACCATCACCACTCATGAATATTGGTTGTTTCAACTGAGAATTGTAATTGCTTCTGTTAAGTGTAGACTAAAATCCAAGTACCTTGTCAACCTTATTCTACATCAGCCAACATTTCTGACAGAGAAATGTGGTGTCTTCGTGGGCATAACACATTCCCCAGCTACCTTAGCCAATGTGGGTCCAACACCCCAGCGACTAACCTCCTCTACTTACCTAAACACTCTATCACTAATCTCAGTCTTATCTAACGTAGGTCTATATCCGATGTGAACGATCGAACGAAGATATCAATCATCAGAATCTGTGAGTTTTCACATCTTTTACTCTCAGTGTCCATGCCTCACAGACGTGAAGTATCAGAGAAGAGAATGGTGCGTCGTACACACGTCTTTCCACAGGAGACATGATACTTCGATCGTGTCAAAGATGACGCGGGTTGGCGAGTAGCAAATGAGCCTCTCGTATCCCGTCAACCACAGAACCACTACGGTTGATCTGAATTCTCAGACAACCGGGACGATCGACACATAGAACAGATGATTGAGATGCTTTCCCGTCGGGTAGTATGTTGAACACTGTTTGACAAAATCAGTTGTCTACACATCTGCTCGTCGACAGTTGGCAAGACTTTCAGCAATAGACTCTGGTGCATATTAGTAAAAATCTCAGATATCTCTGTGTCAGGAATTAAACACTCGCCTACCTCGAAGGGATTTTTACACAACAATAGCTGTTGCAAGGTTTTCGTCAGGCCATTTTAAACTCACTCCATGGTACATCGTGGAGAAGCATCGTTCTCGGTGACTTCACGAGTTTCTACAGATTACTGACAGGACAACACTAACTAAATGGCGAGTAGCAGAAGCTGCATTAAGCGCCTCCGTCGACGAGGTTCACTAGGTTAAGGAGTAGGGATGACAGGGCAGGGAGTCATCTGCTAGCCTGAATTCACTGGGACATCGACAGTACAGCTAAACATCACAGCCTTGCAGAACACTGTCCACAAATAAAGTCTGTTGGCTGTGAGATTGAGGCAGACAAATTTGAGACTGGGCGTGATGAAAAACAATCTGTCAGCACTGTGAACAGATGATCATTAGGCACCTTGTCGAAACAGTCGGTATCGAAGACTGCTAGGAACGGTTTCTTCTCAATGTGCTTACACTGGTTAGCCACGATGAATGTAGGCGTTATGTACAAGAAGTGTCATCGTGTTAGTCAGTATTAGACGCTTTCAGGTAATTACCGAAGTTTGTCACTCGGATGACATCCAGTATGACAAGGAAGTGTCGAACTGAGATCACCCGATTCAGTGAAAGCAAACTGAGAGAACCAACTTCCTTGAATGCCTCCACTAGACAGAATCTCGCAATTAACAACTACGAAGACACAGGGATGTGTGTCACCAGCACACTCACTTTATTCCGTCGACACCTGAGAAATTGCTGAGTTCACATTGCATTTCAATAGGGATGCTGACAATTCCAAACCATACAATCACCCGATTATCTGGAGTGAAAATTCTA